GAAAACCTCTTTATTCCGGATAGTGTAGAATCTTTTCAAAATTGGATAAATTTAATGAAATATCTTTCATCGTGTATGTGTAAGATAAAATATATTAAATTCAGTCCGTGTAAAATAAAATATCTTTGATTCGGACTGAGTATAGTAACACAACTTTAATCTAGACTGTGTACAGGAAAACCTCTTTAAACCGAACTGTGTAGTGGGGAACCTGTTTATACGGATTGTGTAAAATAGAACCTCGTTAATCGGGACTATTTATAATAGTTAGCTTTAAATCCAGACTGTGTATAGAAAAACATCACTTACCCAGTTGTTGGTTAATGAATCTTCGTTAATCCGAATTATGCGGACTACACTCACCATCGGTATCTGTACCGTACCCGTCACTTCCGGTACGTGTATCTCTAAAGCAATTGTCACCAATAAGCTAATTTAAATTATTTTTTCTCTGAGAAAGTGATATTGATTGAGACGCAGGAAAGTTCTGTATTTAAAAGGGAACATTGGGACGTTACAATTGAAATCACACCATACAGTGAATAGGCCTAATGACCTGCTGTTTCCGAAAATACTAACACCGAGTAAGTATCGCCGACCTCCGGGTGATTATGATCCGACCAATGGATATGAACAATGTGTCTTATTTTATATCACCTAATATAATACATGTACGTACCGTTGCTGTGGTTAGCCGAAACACATGATCTCTATGACAATGCAATCATAACTAGAAATAAGTACATTGTATGCTGGTACATGGATATGTTTGAGTAAATCTGCGCATTACATTAACGGTACATTTAGTGAACTTATATAAGAAATATAAATCGATATCATTATACACAACTTGATTGGCTATTTACACTCGGGCTAGATAAGCAAAAAACGGTATGCCGGGTGGCAGATTCCGGAAAGTTTTCATTATGTTAAGCCCATCAAAATATCGGTGTAACATGTTGTAAAACTACCAAACCTGATTTGATAACATAAATCATGTGATGGTCCTATATTATGACATTCATTCTGCGCAATGACGTCGGTTTTGCGTAATGACCCTTGGCTCTGCGTGATAACATTGGTCTTGAGTGATATTATTGTGATCCGAGAAGACAGACGTCAACTTAGTTGTGATATCAGCGAAAACTATTGTAGCGGTCCCTGCAAACATTTCGTAGAACTATCATTTTTCTACGTTATTCTATTCATGCTTGATGTTCATAAGCTGACATTTTTGTCCCATTATTTTTTTTCATAAGTCAGTCTTATTAAAGGCAAGACTCTATCACATCGAATCTCTCATTTGACCCGAAAGATGTCTCCAAATTCCTTTAAATCGGCTTCATTGCGGTAACCTGCTTGAGGAAACATGTCAACAACAATTTTTTTTTCAAAAATTGCGAAAAACAAATTGGCAAACAAATCTAGACTTATGAAAAAAAATCCCCTCAAAGATCCAAGTCACATACTGGCGATATATTCAATTAGTTCCTAACGTAGAGAAACCAAGCCTAGACGAAAAGGTCACAAAGGGTTACCAACACATGCGCGCATGTTGGCGATTTACGTAACTCCTTCCGTACCGGTCGGTAAGTTTGACTCTGGGAACAGAAATCACTCCGCCAACCAATGACTGATGTACATATTTATATAGTCTGGCTCTATTTATCACGTGACCTGGTCACCAAGCTGTTGGTTCTAACCCTGATTTTATCACGTGCTTATTTTGTTCACTGGACGTATAACATGTCAATCTATTTTGCGACCCAACTGAGTGCTGAGAAATGACCCATAATTTAAAGTTTATTTATAAACCTAGGTCATGCGGAGCTTTATTTATCTTCTACTAGCTGCTGGGAGGAATTTCTACCTCAAATAAAGATAGATTTTGCCATGCGAAACCACTAAAATCATAGTTAAATCCCCTGGTAATTCATTTAAGCAATTTGTTTATAACAAGTCTAGCTCTTTGATAACAACATTGAATGTTAAGAAGGGACATTGTATATGATGTTTAAGAAGTGTTCATACATACCGGTAAAATATGTTACGCGGACGTTTTACTATGATTTTTGTACTTTCCCATAGCAACTGTTGAACAATCATCTTCTTGTGAGGCCGGTATGCCTCTCCACACATAGTTAAAGAGAAATAAAGCCCCGCATGGCCTAGATATATAAATGATCTTCAAATAACGTGTCATTTCGTAACATTCAGTTGGGTCGCTGACATGTTGACATGTTATAAATCTGGTGAGCAACTTTTATAATAACATCAGCCTTAATGCCGTATTTTGACTTCGTTAACCTGACTATGTACCTTTTTAATAGCTCATGTACATGATCAATATATTTAAATTACATATATATTCGGATTTTTGATAAGGGTATTTGAATATGATTTGCCAGGGGTTGAAATTTAGTATGACTATTACATCTTTTAGGGGGCTTGTTGAACCTTAAACGAACATCTGTTTCACGTCAATACCAAAACTGTTGTTATATTTCAAATTTCGATAACAACATAGTGTTGGCCTTTTCTATCAGTTAGTCATTGTTTCAATGTAACGAAGTTCGATGTTTCTATGGTTAAGGATTTGGTGCTATTGGGAGTGTTTGATCAAGCACGGCAGGGTTATCGTCCCTGAGTTATCAATATAATAAATATAGCAAAACAGACGAGAGATTTACGGGCTTTTCCGTGAGGGGAAGTAAAGGGAAATCGAGGTTTAATCTAGGTTCAGTTGTGAATAATTGATTGGAGTGTTAGGGGTTTGAGAAAATGATCGGTACCAGTCGACTGGCTCGATTTTAATATACATATACAACTTCTTACCTCTATACTTACATAGCTGTACGCATAGTGCTTATTTCTCTGTGTAACGCGTTTTCCATATTTCTCCTGTAATAGTTTTTTGTTTTAAACATATTTTATTGTAATTTATATACAATGGGAGTTGGGCACAAGTTTAACAACTTTTATTAAGCCCTTTCCCTATATATTAATACAATATTAATGGCATATTACATATTTATTTACATTGGCTTTAATAGAGAGACCGAGCGACCGAGAGAGAGAGAGAGAGAGAGAGAGAGAGAGAGAGAGAGAGAGAGAGAGAGAGAGAGAGAGAGAGAGAGAGAGAGAGAGAGAGAGAGAGAGAGAGAGAGAGAGAGAGAGAGAGAGAGAGAGAGAGAGAGAGAGAGAGAGAGAGAGAGAGAGAGAGAGAGAGAGAGAGAGAGAGAGAGAGAGAGAGAGAGAGAGAGAGAGAGAGAGAGAGAGAGAGAAAATCTTTAGAATAACAGTCTAGTCCAAAGTATGATAATATAACAAATTTAAAGCTGATTTCCGTAATGTATTAGGTAATAGAATATCGTTGTATCCCGGACCATGTGATTTTTCCTTCTCCATGCAAACGAAACCAGTGATAGTCTATTCACGATTTGGACACTGAACTACATGTACTTATGAGGCAGCTATCGTGACCTTCCTTGCATAATTTGTGTTATCTGCTTAGGACCGTTCATTGACAAAATCAAAATAGATTTAATGCAACACTCTTGCGAGGATGCTAAACCCTGAATAAAAACAAACAAAGTGGGCTTGTAAACAAACAGCAGCACATCAACTCACCCTAAGGGGGAGATAATCTACGACGCAAATCCTCTCACCATGACGCTGGTCTAGACAAACATTACTGTCGATACACACGGAATGTCAGATTTATGTCAGAACATAGATTTATGACGTCATCAACTCATTAAATGTTACAAAAAAAGATAAATAAAGCTGTCTTCGAAATATCAGACTTAGGCAGCAGAAATACGTCGGTATACTGATCCCAACTACAAACCTGAGCAGTTTCCAGACAGGAATTGACTATTCCATCGGATGTGCATGGCGTTGTATATCAGATTCACAAACTATTAACTGTATCGTAAATGGGACATCAAAGGTAGACCGTAGACTAAGTGTTATGTTTACACGTCTAAAGGCGTGCTACAATTCTAGTAAATAACACAGGGACATGATAATTTGTTACAGCTACATTTGGACCTAAACTAAGGTGTTCAGAGTAATTTCAAATGTTTTAGGGGTTTAGATCGACTGTCGGTAAAAATGACCCCCACGATCACATACTCGTTCTAAACCCCATAAAACAATCGACATGTGCATATGCTTGTACTACTTAACCAAAACCTTCAGACTGGACAAGGAGTTTTGAACTCTCTCGAATATATGTAAACAATAGCTATGTTGGTTACAAAATTTCCAGTGTAAATTTGGCTACGGTGACAATAAGTGACCACAGCAATGTCAGTTATATTTTTTTTATTTTTTATTTGAAAGTGTAATTATTACACTGTTTTGTTTTTGTCATACCTATAATCTTCGTCTGAATATCATTAAATCAATACCACATTTTACCAATATTCATTTTGGAGAATATGACAAAAGATGGATATTTAGTTCTTGTAGCATTCAAACTATTTATTATGTTTTCACATTTAATACAAAAATAAATAAACATTTACCTTTGGACAAGATAGTAAAATATCGAAGCATCAAAACAGTTTTTCATTTGTTTTTGATTGTTTCAAGCTTAACGGATACCTCAACATAGTTATCAAAGATTATATAAGTTACTATATATGACACAAAATGATTAAGGATGTGACATTGTGTTACAGGCAACAGTTACCCATACCTAAACATACCTAAACATTCCAAATGTCATTTATTGTTTTTTCTCTGACTCCCTCCCGTTCAACTAGATAAAAATCATTAAATATCGTAATTGAAGGAAACACGTTTATTAACGTAAAGAGATATTGATTGGATTTGCATAAGGTCAAGATATATCTTGAATAGCATTATCATTCATCTAAAAATAATAATAATTCATAATTGATAAGAAGTAAGAATGACATTTTAAATAAAATCTGGTTTTATATTGTGGTTTGCTTTAGTTAGAGTTGTCTTTCTTTGTATTGAAACTCTTATGAGCAGCCACACGTGTAACGTACCATTTCTCGGTCAATAATAAGAGATCATGGTAGTTTGGCGTGTAATAGGCCTATACACCTGATCTCACATGATCCACCAAAGATATAATGTTTCTAGGATTACGAAATGAGCCGACAATCAAACAATCAGGCTGAAATCATGTGCCCGTCATGAGTAGTCAATCTGACGTCTGTACCGGAATAACAGAATGTTTGAGGAATGTGGCCGAGGAAGCACGAGGTAGGTACAGTTTACATTGTAGCCACTCACGAAATGTCATTACCGGCAATAAGGCACGTGACTTCATAAGGAAACGTATTTACATGTTCATGTTACTACACCTTCTTTGGATAATTATCGGACGTGAGAGTTAGAACTTGCTCTGTATTAGACTTGCACAAGTCCGGTGATGTGCAGCTCGCCTGGTGCGAAACATTTGAACATGTGGAGATGGCGCGTGGTTTGTCCGTCTTTCTGTATCTTTGAACGACTTGTTTTAAAGAACCATAATTTTTGAATCGGGATAATTAATTAACGTGTTAAAAATGACTTACTTTCTCGGTTACATTTTGAACATTTCACGGAGACGACTTTGAACATCAAGACATGATATTTGCTCGCTAGCTTGGTCTATCACTTTCCTTCAAATACAAGACCTTGACATACATTTAGTGCCACGGGGGTCAAAGATATTAAAAAATCATGCAACTTCTTATGACTATTGACGCTTTGGATACTAATATTTTGCTTATACACGTAGCTTGCTTTTTAGACTATCAAATGTGCTCATATATATTTATATCCAGGATCACAGGGGTCAACTGTGTGAACCTGTTACCGTTTGGAATCATAGACACCTCGGCACCTGGTGAAGTCGGTACTTGGACACCTCGGCACTTTTATTTTCGGCACTTGGTTACCTCGGCACTTTCTTTTATTTTCGGCACTTGGTTACCTCGGCACTTATATTTTCGACACTTGGTTACCTCGGCACTTTTATTTTCGGCACTTGGTAACCTCGGCACTTATATTTTCGACACTTGGTTACCTCGGCACTTATATTTTCGACACTTGGCTACCTCAGCACTTATATTTTCGGCACTTGGTTACCTCGGCACTTATTTTTCGACACTTGGTTACCTCGGCACTTATATTTTCGGCACTTGGTTACCTCGGCACTTATACTTTCGGCACTTGGTTACCTCGGCACTTATATTTTTGGCACTTGGTTACTTCGGCACTTTTTGAAGACAAGTCGGTACTTATTTTTCAGATTCTAGTTTAAGTTGCAATTGAATCTGAAATCCGTGAATCTATTGATGGTATTTGGTGTCATCGTATCCACAATTTGTGGTGATATGTATTCAAAATTCATATAAAGGGGAATAACTCGTTGAAAGCAGTATGTCTTCTATAGAATCAAACCACCATCAAAATATGGTTTTAATAAGTTAAATCTAGTTGTTGGCACAATCAACTGTCGAATAGTTTAAAGATATAACGTTTTACAATATCGGTTAAATCTATATCGTTATATCTTTAATTCTGGAGTTATTCTTATTTGAAGGTACGTAATGTATACGTCATTTTAACAAATAGCAATGATAAAACCACACTAAGAACACGTTTGATACACTATATTTTAATTTATAAGACATAAATCGCATAACACTAATATTCAACAATGTTTAAAGAAACTTTACTTCGTTGGACCATTTATTTTCATCAAATATAATGAATATTGAAATATGTAATATCTAATATAGCGCCTATGAAATGTTCTATATACTTTAAGTATGTAATTGAACACAGGTAGTAGGTATGTAACAGGGTTATATATTTACATATCACACCCAGTATCAACCCGAGACTGCAATATCAGCCCAAGGGCCGATTGGTCGAGGGTTGATACCGGGTGTGATATGGAAAAAGGCATGCTTTATTCTGTTTATTACATACTTACTAATAAAAGCTACTATCTTATGATATATTTTTCTTTTGATTTATTGAAAAACGCAAAAAAAATCCAAAAGGGGTGTGATACGGGTTTTGCGGGCTGATACGGGTTTTGGGGTTGTGATACGGCGGGGGCTGATACGGCTTTTGGGGTGTGATACGGCGAGGGCTGATATGGGTAAGAGCAATTGTGCCGTATCGCATAAACAAAAAACCCGTATTTATTAGTAAGTATGTAATAAATATATTTATTGTGTGTAAGACTTTGAAAGGATTTATGAAAGGTCTTGGTGTAAGGAACCTTAAATGGTTGTTTGGTAGTATAGTTGTGTGATGAAAGAATGTGGTGCGAGGACCCTTAAAGGGGCATCACGCTGAAGTAACTTTTTTTTTTGTCTTTTTTCCAAATACTACATAAACATATCAAGTGAGACTCCTTATGGAAAATGCCGATCGGATTTGGCTGAAAAAGATTCATAAAAATGATTAAATCTAAGATAATCATCGGTATTTCTACCTGTCTGACCAACGTTTTGTTCAGGGATTTCCCTCTACTAGCGCATGCGCATAGCACACCATTTCTTTGTAAACAAAATGACTGGCCGTGTGAAGTAAGCCAAAGAAAAGTGTTGTACCGTGTCAGCTACGAAGCGAATAGTTGCCAAATGGTCAAAAGATAGCGCAAGGGGTACGTTACGGAATCATTATTGCCAGTGGGAAGTATTCAAAGCAGAAAATAACTGCCCTAGCAGTCAGTACGGTGCATGTTTTCTTCCGGATAGCGGCCGGTTAAGCTGAAATAAAATCGACAGAAATGCTAGCGCTGTTTATGTTATGAATAAATATCTAAAACTATTAACCTCGCTAGTATCATTGTGTGAGTTTGAACACAGATGAACTTAGTTTAATATGTTAATGGGCATGTATCGGAGAGAGTTTACTTTGTGTTTTTTATAATTATACAGTGGTTTATGCAAACGAAAGGGATAAGTGACTGGTTAGTTTGATTTTGCCATGAGGCCCCCCAAGGGATAACTGCTGTGATGGCCACGGCGTATTCTGTTCTCTGATCCTCTGTCGGTGCTCGGGGTCAAATGAGATACGTGCGCTATTAGATTTACATAATTTATAATATTACCGGGATCAGTAAAATGGTATGATTTAATTATATTGCTGAATTAAACGATTGTTTTTTGTTTTGACATGCAAGTTTTAAATTAGTACTAATATAATACCCGGCCTGCCCTGGCGCGACGACGCAATATATAAAAAAAAAATCGCTCTTCGTCAGAAAGCTACGTTATCGCAGCTAGATTAAAAATGTCAAAATGACGGACCAGGATGAATAACTGAGGAAGGAGAACCTACTTCTAGTAAATAGGATCGCATAACACTTTTTTTTTAAATCGTAATTTTTCAACAGTTCATGTTTTCATATGATGTTGACTTAGAATGTATGATCATGTAACAACCTTTTCTCTATAAAGAATAAATTTTCGACTTCAGATAGAATCGGAATACGTATTGAAAACAGGGGAAAAAATATTTGATTACGTTATAAAAATGGCGCGTGCTGCCGATAACTACGGCTTCTGTTTCGGACCAAAGGAACTGATTAAAGAAAAGTTGTCTCAGCATAAAAAGGTCCATTTAAAAGTATGCTTTAATCTCTGTAAAGTATTGAAAAAATATAATTATCAAGTATCTCAACACGTTCCTTATTGACACATATTCTACATGTACACGTAGTGGTTTTGCCATACAGTTTATTGTGTGTGATGGTTAATATGACTTCCTAAATGTTAGCGTTTGGAGACAGTGAAAGTGGGAAAGAGAGTATACATAGATTTATATTCATGGTCTAGAAAAAAAATGGCCAAAGACATTGAGTTGTTTAATGTAATAAATAAATTCACAAACGTTTCCTTTTTATATTCGCGTGTAGTTTGTCATTGCATATATGCACTTTATGTAAACATTTGAAAAGGGATATTCGTCTCGTGAATATTCCTTTTTACAGAAAGGTTTGTCCCATTGTTGAGGGAGTGTTTAGCCCCGTACCACCTGTACCGGTCACGGGAGAAGGCTGTGATAAATTGTAAAAACTTGTGCCCCATCCTTTGTTTAATTTTATTGGCAACAAATTTATGTTAAAAGCTAAATAAATTTAAATTCTTAATATTGGCAAGTGTGCAATTAACTTCTGATGATGAATAATTACTGTTCAATAAGTTTGAATACGGAATTAGAAATCATATAACTTGGTTTCATAGTGCGGTAAGAAGTTGCAGTTGCCTGACGGCCCCTCTCTGAGGGCCCCTTTGTAAACCGTTTCATCTCGCTCGCACCACTTGTGTTTGCTGCCTAATCAGGTGACGTTATCGGCGCTATTTTTAGCCGGGCTTTCCCGAACAATTCAAGTGGTCAAACTGGACATTTGGAACGGACTATGAATATGGGGATAGCGAGGTAACATAAGTGGAAGTGCATACAATACATACATTCATTAAAAAAAACCCGCCTTTTCACGTGATGTCCCTTTAATGTTTGTGTGTTACCTGTATGTAAGAATGTGTGGAATGTGAGTACTTTTAGTCACATGACATCAACGGACACATTTAGTTTAAACTTTGTTTTATTCACATAACATATGTAATACAAAATACAAATATAATTTAACATAAATGAATTGGAGACAGAAACAAGTGTTAATACACTTATATAAATCTGTTACCTTTCACCTTAACCAACATTATCAACTACAGCTTAGGGATAGTGACGTGAATAAATTACAGGGGAAGTTAGAAGAGAGTTGGGGAAATGCAGTGTAAAATATGGTACATGTACAAAATACGTTATATTCATAAAATCAGTGTATTGTGGTCAAGAAAAATCCTTCTGTTGCGTCATCGTTAATACACTTTATGATTGATTTTCAGACTGTTTCAAGAAAAGTATATATATGCATATAAGTAAGATCTAAATAAACAAGCTGCATTATAATGTTAATATAAGATATACTCTATGATAATCATAATCATGTGGGTGTTTTTTCTCTACGCAGACAGTCGTTGTGATAGACTGTTCACATTCCATACACTATTACAGATCAATTGTCCGTGACATCCCGTGCCTTAATATGTCATTCTCCTGTTCTTTTTATGTCCTCCTGGTATATCCGTTTCCAATAGACTGTTTGCATCGGGAAAGACCATCCACATGACTTACTTTACATATAATATATGTAATTATATGAACGGACATATTTATTGGTCATAGCTAACAACTGCATGATTTTTAACTTGACTAACATCACTCGGCACCAAGGTACTGAACGATCAAGAACTACTTTATATATCGGGAGAATTTGAAGAATTACAAATGTAGAGATCTGGTATTACATGTTAAACACTTTGTAACAACTGCCAGTCATACGTCGCCTGTTAGACAAAGGAATTTCTGTAAACCCCCCGCAGGATCTGTTTTTTTTTTAGAATACAGAATAAACGGCATAAAGAACCCAACAGAATTTAGTGGATTTTTAAACGCGAAGATAGCACTGTAACAGGTACATGACGGAACACTATAACAGGAAGGAACACTCTCGCAGAAGCCTGCTAGTCGACATCCCCTGCCTCCTGTAATATCTCTAAAGCCGAAACAACTTTCCCTGCACCTTTGTTGTACGTCTCCGTTGAAATCGTCTCAGCTTTCCCACCGATATCACCCTGACCTGCAGAGGGATGACGGTGGCCTCCTTGAGCAGTTCCCGGACCAGCAAGTGCACCGGGAGTGACGCATATATATGAACATTAAATACAGTTTTCTAAGAATATCGCGACATCTATATATGGGCATTAAAAACAGTTTTCTAAGTAGATCGTGACGTCTATATATGGACATTAAATAACATTTTCTAAGTAGATCGTGATGTCTATATATGGACATTAAATAACATTTTCTAAGTATATCGTGACGTCTGTATATGGACATTTAATACTGATTTTGAAGTAGATCGTGTAAATAACCCCGGCGGTACGTGAGCATTACCTACAACTAACTATCACAGGCACGTGGTCAGTACCAACAACTACCTATCACAGGGACGTTGTCAGTACCAACAACTACCTATCACAGGGACGTGGTCAGTACCAACAACTACCTATCACAGGGACGT